TGGGTGGTGGGTGTGGTGTGGGTGTGGTGTGTGGGGTGTGTGTGGGGTGGGTGTGGTGGGTGTGTTAAAATCAAAGCTTCATTGAAGTTCTAGGATTAAGACATAGCAGGCAGAGTATTAAAACCTTGCTTAAATTAGTTGGGGGAATTGCAGGTTAAATCTTTGAGAACTAGTGTCAATATTAACTATAAATTTCTGGTTCTCTCTTTTGTTAAGTACTGATTTTAAAGCTGTAGACTTAAGCTGCCATTTTACATATTAGTCTTGAGTTTTTAGTTAGCAGTTGACTCAAATCTGTGTGCCATTTTAGTCTTAAATACTCTTCCCAAGAATTTTCAATGAAGAGATTCCTAGGATTACATCCCGTCATGTCATGCACATGTCAGAAATCCAGCTAAGGCACTGGAGTATGCACACGGAAGTTTCATTATACATTTAAAATGTTTACGGTGTGACGAAAACACAACAGAAGATGTATAATGAGAACTTAAATCTGAGGGCAAAGTAAATTGACTTTGTTCTTCAGTACACTATTTCCAGAAACTTTTTTTTGTTTACTAATATAACTGCCCTTAAACTACACATACAGGATAGGAATATCTTTTTAAAACAAGTAGGGCTTTCAGATGAACTGTAATCAAAGAATGTTGATGAAAAGACCTTAAGTCTATGGAGAAATGGCCTTCAATCAGTTATATACTTGACAGATTTTCTTTTTTTTTTTTTTTTTTTTTTTGGCTGTTTCTTGCAAGTCATGGCTTCAGAATTTTGAACTATATTTTTTTTCTTATGGTCTAGGAGGGTCCTAATAGTCTGATTAATGAAGAAGAATTTTTTGATGCTGTTGAAGCTGCTCTTGATAGACAAGATAAAATGGAAGAACAGGTACTGATACTTGAAAAAAATGTGTTAATGGCAGGTATTTCATGCATGATTTCTATAAAGTTTTCTTGGGTTGGAACTCCTAAAGCTCCAAATGCTTTATACTGACATTTATAATCACATTTCACTTGATATTTGTATCATTAAATATTTTTGCTTAATATTAATTTTGAGAAAATGGATTCACAGCTTTTATACAGAAGAGGAGTATAAATATTAACTTATTTGAATGTCTCTGGTTTGATTCCTAAATATGAAAGTATATATGAATCCTATATAAAACTTATTTGAAAATGATGCAAATAAAATGTTGAATACTGCAGATATTTCTCAAAATATAATTATTGCCCTGAACAGCTGACTGCTAGTAATTAAACCCATCTCTTTCCAGTCTCAAAGTGAAAAGGTCAGACTACACTGGCCAGCATCCTTATCTTCTGGAGATGCATATTCTGCTGTGGGGACTCATAGATTTGTCCAGAAGGTAAGATGTTTCCCATCATCTCAGAGTAATGGGCTGGCTTAGGATATTTCTATTTTTTATATTTTTGTATGGCTAGGTGAGACTGGATTTGTAGATGTTTCTAGTAACTTTTAATATGTTACTTATTGTTTTTATTAAACTACCCACAACTGGATACAGACTATTTTCTGTCTTGGCTCAGAAATTACTGATCCAAGTAGCTATTTAGAATACTCCTGACTTGTATCAAGCTTGTCAGTTTGAGATATTAAATAAAAAAGAAAAACCACTGTGCTAACTTGATAGTGCATTTAAGATGCCTTCAACAAAACTTACTGAGCTGAATAAGCTAGAAAAAAAATCCAGTTACTTAGAATCAGTTGACATTTTTTAATGTTGCTTTTAGTGTTACTGGAAACACTATGCTCTTCAAGGCTATGCCAGGAGTATAATGCATAATAGGTGCATGAAATCAGCATTTTCTGCTGTGCTTGCTGCTTATGGTACTTTTGTTTTCCTTTTTTTCATTATCTTTTGCTTGGAAGTTGGTATTGAATGCTCTGTTGTGCCTTTGTTCTGATTACTTGTTTTTTTCTTTGTCTTTCTCTGGTAGCCCTATAGTCGCTCTTCTTCCATGGCTTCCATTGATCTAGTCAGTGCTTCCGATGATGTTCACAGATTCAGTGCCCAGGTACTGTACAAATGCGTAGAGTGGGGGTTGCATCTCTCTGCTGTATTTCATTCTCACGTCTAGAACCTGGATTTTTGTTACATAAACCACTGCTCGCTTTAAACTAGTACATTAAGACAAACAAAGGAGTTCTCTATTCCTATACTAAATGGTTGTCTTTTTTACATTCTGCTTGCATGCATATCCCTCCTGCAGAGGCCCAAATCTTGTGAGGCTGTTGAACTGATTTTTGTAGCTTTATTAAAATTGCTTACAAGTTGATTTGCATTTCTGATTATTATAAAAGTAGAATAGCACCTGTTATGTGTGGGATGGAAATAGATTTCTGACTTGAAATGTGCTTTCCTTTTAAATCAACCAGAGGTTTAACTTGCTTTTATGCTCTTTTCGGTATCAGTTATAATGATATTAGGATGCTAAATGTTAAGGTTCAGTAATATTGTTTTTACATCTACAACTAGTACTGGAAGGTCATTATAATGAAACTTATGAGAACTTAACTGAAGATATTCAAAATCTTCAGTATATTTCAGAAAGTTAGTGTGACATCCTGAATATTGGAACACTGTCACTGTGCCATTCTGTTAAAGCAGAAAATTGCTCTGTACTTGCTCTGAGGATTATAGTGTATCAAGTGGGACTAGGCAAGTGGATTAATGTATCTGCTCCTTAGTCTCAAACAGTTGTTCAGCTATGGCATTCGTGCTGCAGGGTTCCTTCCACTGTGGTCTGTGTCTTCTTGTTAAGCAAAAAAACCATGGCTTTTGTTCCAAAATTTGCAATTTGGTTCTCTTAGAAGCTGCTTACACTAAGCAGTCTGCTTTTTCAAATAAAAGGAATGGTCTCCCTGAAATCGTATCACCGGTTGGTTTTGTTGGTTTTACTCTCTGCTTTGAGCAGGGGCCTAAAATTTAATGACTTGCCATTTGGACTAAAATCCCAACTTTGGCCTTGACCTGTTGCACCCAGTTACTTCTCTAGAATTTTGACTTGCAGCAAAGCAAAGAGAATGCAGGTCATATTGCAAAACAGTGATGCACAGACTAGACTACTAGTAAAGTTAGTATTTTGAATTTTTTGAGGGATGGGAAGGTATTGTCAAGTAATAGTACCTTTGATTTCCAAGATGGCAGCTGTATGCCTATCAGGCTGTGAGTATATGGCTAGTTTGATTGAAGGGAAACACTGCTAAAATGTACATTTTTGATAAAAGTACATTCCATTTTTGCTACTTTTTCTCATTTATGATAGCATTTCTGTGTGCATATGGTAAATTTGAATATTGGAGTACTGATGTTAGTGTAAAAGAGTCCAGTGTTGATCAGGGCCTATCACAAGAATGCAAATTCAGGTTAAAGATAAGGATCAGGGCTGGGCTGGGGTGTGGAGTCAAGCTGTTACTCTTCAGCTCTGTGTGGCTTATACTCAATTGCAGTGAGTACCTAGTGCCTTAGGATACACTTTCAGGTTAATAGACTCACTGCAGAGAAGGCAATCTTGTCAATTTATAGCAAATGGCGCTCTCCTCCCAAGCCCAGAATAGGTTCCTCTCAGATCAACAGATCAGTCTTGTTGCTCTGGAGCCGCAGTGCTGCTGGGCAGGCAGTGAAAGACAGCGGGTGCTTGAAGGGGCACGAACAGGACACCTTGACAAGCTGCTGTGAACCTGATAAGGGGAAACCAACATCCCATCCCCAGGCACAGGATTTGATTTTTCAGAAGGCAAATGAATATCTGATATCTTGATTTTGAATAAATGGGACTAGTTTATAAACTTCATTTATAGTAAGGGAATTTCAGTATCAGTAAAAGATCAAGTAGCAACTTGTAGCTTTGTTTTTAAAACTGAGAAAAGCAAACATGCTTGACTGCTGAGGCACCCCTGTAGACAAGATGTGCCTCCTGCTCTGGGTGTCCTCCTGAGTGCGTTTCACCATAGCTTGAATGACTTCAGTTATCTTTCCTGGGACAGAAGATTTCTCTGATCAAGTAACCAATATGGTGACCAGGCACAATGAGCTTTGGAAGATTTAGTATCTGTTCATACTTTGAATGGATGTTAGTGACTTGTCATTAGCAACTAAAGCTTAGATTATTCATTCCAGAACAAACGGTGGTAAAGTTCCTATAGAAGCTATTGTTGTGTGGCTCTCAGCAGCTCTATGTGCCTGAATAGTCCAAATAAGTTGGATAGATGGTCTGTGGTTTTCTGTCATGCTGTGGTTGCTATAGGAGGGTAAATGTGGTTCAACTGGTGGAAACTGGTGGTCAGTATCTTTCCATTTCTTGTGTGAGAAGATGATAAAATGTTACCATATGCTGCCAGCTTGGACTCTGTGAAGAGATGTGTGAAAGTTTTGAGGGGGTAGAGGGAGTAGTGTAATGATTTAAGCATCTCTTTCTGTAAGAGTAACCTTGGTACTTTAAGTCTAGAGAAGTTTTTAATCTCAAAGGAATATTCAGAATTCCCCAAGAATTAATCAGGTTTTAAAATGGACCAGATGTGAATGATTTGTGGCTTAGCTTGCTCAATTGCTATTGAGGAAGCTGCATAATTAGCAAGGTGCTTAGTGTTGCTTTGAGGCATTATAGGTTCCAAGACACTATGCATTTGGCTTCACTGCTTATCAGATTAACTTCAGCTGCTTTAGAGGACTCTCAAAGTCATTAAGAACTTGATATCAGGCTTTTGAAATTGTAGCCCCTTTCTGCTATGTCACCTGTTTCATTCCTCAAAGGCTTGGTAGTTGTTTATATTTTTTGTAAAGCCCTTGCAGCTTGTTTTAAATCTCTTGGCATCTCCTTTACCCCTGGGGATTTCTCAATAGAAAGGAAATATGCTCTTATAATGCTGGCCACTGGCTGGTAATACAGTGGGGTTCTTCACCCTCTTTAATTGAAGGCCCATCTAATCTTTTTGATGGGGTGAATAGTTGGGGTATTGCAACATATCATTTTTGACTGTTTGGGAAAGAAGGTAATTGTGTGACAAAGGTCAAAAGATCTGCGCTTACAAAGCATTTGCTTGGTCTGTATATGCTGGTGGGAGCTATTTCCTCAGGGAGCCTCCAGGAAGGTATTGATTTATCTTTGTCAATTGAGGGAGAGGTGTGGGTTTAAACTCTGCAGACATTCTGCAGATGACCTCATTTCTTAAAGAACTATCAATTCTCCAAACAGTTTGAGCCATAGTGCAGGTTTGCCCACCTAAGGTTGCAGACAAAGCCTTGGTGACAGAGGATAAAGCAGACTTGCAGGCTGGGCCTGCAGCCTGCCAGGAACC